TGATGGGTGGCAGTGAGGCTGTCAGTCTCTGGCAGTCTTCTAACAGGGTCTCTCAGGCCCCAGCAGGTCTGCAATCTCAGCTTAGTAGTCTGCCAGGTATATTTTTGCCATGAGGAATTTCTCCTCCAGAATGAGGTATAGTCATTCTCTTCAGAGGTACTGGATTTTTCAGCAGCCTCCTGTGCTTAGCACTAAGGATGCAACAGTAGGTATATCATGGCCTCTGTCTTAAGGGTTTAAAAGGGGAGATGATACAAATTTGATAGGCAAAAATTAAGAAACCAGACACTGTCAAATGTTGGAGAAGATGTGTGTTCATCATGTGTCTCTGGCCCTGCTGGTAGAATGTATGCTGGCACTTTATCTAGCAGAGGTGGGCACTCATTCCGCCTGGCACCCAGCAGTTTACTCCATGACCTGTGTCCTCCAGAACCTCTTCTTGTACTGTGTGCCAGGCAGAATTCTTGTGTGAGAAGGAATCCATTATAGCATTTTCTAGTAAAAAAAACTGGGAATGGCCCAAGCGAGCATCTGTAGGAGACTGGATCGTGGTCTGTGCATACCATGTGATATACCATATTAGCAGTGAGGGAGCCACAGGTGCTGCCAACACATGCACCAAGTCGAAGTTCAACAATTCACAAACAAAGCAAATTATTGGTTAGGTGTATGTCCTATATATGTAGTCAGCCTCTATACAACCATATACATGTGTGTAAAATGAAAGTGAATGCAACACACCAAATGCTAGGGCCTGGTTATCTCCAGCTGGAGCAAGCGGGAGAGCTAGGAGGGGTGAGAGCACATGGGGATATAGAGTTCTTGGTAATGTTGAGTCTTAGGTGGACCATGGGTTGTAGATGTTTATTATATTGTCATTTAAATTAGTAAGTACATGGAGGTAGAGCTGACAGGGTCATCAACCAGCAATGACAAGTCAGGCTCAGAGTCACAAAGGATAGTAAGCAGCTCTGTCCAGAGGAGGCAGGAAAGCCTTCCAAGTAGATGACTTGTGAGCTGGGGTTTTAGCGATGAACAAGAATTTGCCAGGTGGAAGAAGTCCCAGGGAGAAGGAGCCTTATGGACCCAGGGCAGAGATATACAGAACCATGGTGTGTACAATGAAGCACTCAAGCTCTCATTGTCTATGGTTAAAGGGTTGGGAGAAGATGGGGCAGGAAGAGCTATAAGGTGGACCTGGTGGTGGAAGGTTTCAGAGAAAGCAGAGGAGCCTGGCAAGCAAAGAGGATCCCGGGGGCTGTGGCAGCCCCCACCCACCCTGAGCAGCATCACTTAGTGGGAATGATAGTTTCCCCATAGAAGTTCAGTCAACCAAAGCATTTTCTGTTCACAACAGCTACACCCAAAAGGTTCAAAAGTCACTATGTAGAAGATAGGAGCCCTTGTATATGTTGGTGCCAAAGGATTGCATCATCTGACCTGTGTTTTAGAAAGCTAGCCCAGAGGAGAGAGGGCAGTGTTCTGGGCCAGAGGACAGCTCAATGGGCTGTTGCGAGTCTTGGGGGAAGAAGTTGTAATTCAGATCCTACCTCACTGAACAGACACTTAGTGTGAGATAATATTCAATATTCTCCAGTTACTCTGAGATGCATTCCTAAAAATCTAACTTTCTGCCTTTACAGACCATTTCAGAGATGTTTTATGTTTCTCTTTGATCTTGGCTGTGGCTTTTGACACTGTGCCTCTCATTTTCTCTGCCCCCTGACCTTTTGGCTAGGCAGTTGATGATCTTTAAACAAATGCTTGAGTATTATGGCTCTCCAGAAAGGGATCTGGGTCTGATGTCATTATAGCATTCTCCCTTTATCCAGGGAGAAAATGAGTGTGACATACACCCCACTTTGTAGACAAAGATGTTTGTGACCTCAAGGTCAAAATTGTCTTTAGGTTAACAATTTTTGATGGCAGGTTTTCTGAAATATATTATACATTTCTCTGCTGTTCTAAGCAGAAATCCATGAACGTGATTTCATCTCACCTCTGAGACAATGAATCTTAGTAGAAACATTTCATTTCATGAACATTTGTCAGGGCCTATTCCATGTCTGTTCCTGATTTACAAATCGTGGGTACAGAAATCTGCCTGGTGTAGAGTTGGTGTAATGATTTAGAAGCAGAGATAAAAAATCAAGCTTGCCTAAACTCCTGGGTGGCTTCCTATCCACCTGCCCTCCCCTCCCATACTCCATGCTGAAGCCCTCCCACATCTTTCTTTATTTCTCAAATTCACCAAGCCTCTTTCAGGCCTTTGCACTTATTGGTTCCCCTGTTTAAAACTTCCTCTGGGACTTCCGCCAAAATGGAGGTGTAGGTGGGAATACTTTTCGTCCTCGAACAACCAAATCTAAAAACAATAAAGTTTTAACAACAATAAACACAACCAAACCACACAGAAAATCGAATACGGAGTCCGGAAACAACAGACCACTCAGCTAAACCAGTGAGAGGGGCGAAACCAGCAGTGGAGCCAGTCGGGCAAAAAGATCCAGGCGGTGCACAGGCAGCCGGGGGCACGGATCCCAGGTGCGGGCTAGCTATGGGCGGAACCCATAGCTAGGGAAGAGGCACTGCTGGCTGTCTGCAGTCGGTTGCGCATTTGCATGCAGATAAACCAGTGAAAAGGCAAGCGTTGAGACAGATCTCGCAGGCCCCAGCGACTGGTGCAGGGTGGCAGACTGGCACATTTGTGCTTGGATAAGCAGGTGGGGGCGAGCAGTGAGGCGAACTGGGTAAGCAGAGAGGACTGCCATTGCTCCCTCTCTGACCCCGCCCCCATACAGCATCACAAACCAGCTACCTGGGTGGCCCCGCCCCGGTAAACACCAAGGCACCTCTCCTCCTATGTAATGGGCACAAACAGATCAAAACATGGCTCAAGAAGAACTCAGAGCCCCAGAGCTGATAAATCTAAGCGATGAAGAAATAGCCAAACTTTCAGATGCACAGTTCAAAACACTGGTGATCAGGATGCACACAGAACTGGTTGATTATAGTCACAAATTAGAGGAATATATGAAGGCTAAACTAATTGAAATGAATGGAAATGTACAGGAAACCAATAGTAATGGAAAGGAAACTGGGACTCAAATCAAAGGAGTGGACCAGAAAGAGGAAAAAAATGACCAAACAGAAAAGGATGAAGAAATAAGAATTCAAAAAAATGAGGAGAGGCTTAGGAATCTCCAGGACATCTTTAAACATTCCAATATCCAAATTATAGGGGTACCAGAAGGGGAAGAGGAACAGCCACCAGTGGAAACCTTATTTGAACAAATAATAAAGGAGATCTTTCCCAATCTGGCAAAGGAAATAGACTTCCAGATAGTCCAGGAAGCTCAGAGAGTCCCAAAGAAGTTAGACCCAAGGAGGAACACACCAAGGCACATCATCATTACATTAGCGGAGATTAAAATGAAGGAGAAAATCCTAGAAGCAGCAAGAGATAAGGGGACAGTCACCTGCCAAGGAGTTCCCATCAGACTGTCAGCAGATTTCTCAAAAGAGACCTTACAGGCAAGAAGGGACTGGAAAGAAATATTCCAAGTCATGAAATCCAAAGACCTACAACCAAGATTGCTCTGTCTAGCAAAGTTTTCATTTAGAATAGAAGGACAGATAAAGTGCTTCTCAGATAAGATCAAATTCAAGGAGTTCATCATCACCAAGCCCTTATTATATGAAATGTTAAAGGGACTTATCTAAGAAAAAGAAGATAAAAAAGTTGAACAGTGAAAGGACAGCAAACTCACAGTTACTAAGAACCACACCTAAAACAAAAGCAAACTAAGAGGACAGCTAGATCAGGAGTGAACCATAGAAATGAAGATCACATGGAGGGTTAGCAACAGGGGAGTGGGAGAAGGAGAAGAGGGGAGAAGGTACAGAAAATAAGTAACATAGACAGTAGATAGAAAATAGATGGGGGGAGGGTAAGAATAGTAAGGTAAATATAGAATCTAAAGAACTTGAGACACACGTTCATGAACTAAAGGGGGGAGAATGGTGGGGGAGGGGTGTGCAGGGTGGAGGGGAATGGAGGAGGGGAAATAGAACAAATGTAATGGCATAATCAATTAAAAAAAAGTTAAAAAAAAAAAACTTCTTCTGGACCTTCACACAGCTTCTTCCTATGATCAGGCATTGCATCTATAGAGGTCTTTCCTAACAACCGACCTAAAAAGTCAGACTCTCCCCCAACCCCAGGCCTTCTGTATAGCATGTTATATATAATATGCATGTAGAAATAGATATTCTATATATTTTAAAAATTTGTATTTTATTTGTGTTAATATAAATTCAGTTGACATATTAATATGTTTATAATTTTGTTGTTTTTTTCTGGGTATTAAGCTCTTTGGAAACAGACTTCACTCTATTCCTACCCTTAGAAGAATGCCTGGCAAACAGCTAGGATATATGCATTGATGAATGAAGAGTGGCCCTGGCCTGGAGAAGCCCACAGGCTAGCAGGCAGATGGATACAGATTAAGCAGTGATAGCACAGCAGGCTGAGTATGATTGAGAGCAGCTGAGGTGGGACAATGAAGAAAGACAGATCCTACCCACTGGAGTCTGCACAGACTTCCCAGAGTAGTGGTGTTTGGCCTGGGCTTTCAAGGACAAATGGGCATAGGTTGGCAGGCTGAGGAACTGGGGGGGGGCCTTCTGCATGGGGTGGCAAGCCTATAAAGAGAGCTCAAGGCAAAGATGTATGGGAATGGAGCTTAGGGTGAATGTTGGAGTCCAACATTATAGGTAGTTCATGTTTTGGCTGCTGTGACCACTGCCCACATCCTGGACTAGGGTGCCATGTGGACTTGGGCCTTGTATTTGCAAGGTGGAGTCTGCTCTAAGAGGAGTCTGGCCCCAGAGCTCCCTACAGCTGGCACATGGTAGCATGAGACAGGGATTTCTTTACCCAGAACCCTCAACCTCAGAGCCTGTGGGTTTTATGACCTTTGTCTTTTGCTTTTGACCAGGTTGTGAGGAAGGTCAAGTCCATGCAGATGTTCCACATGCCTGTCACCTCAGCCATGCAGGGAGACCGGCTAGGCATCTGTGTCACTCAGTTTGATCCCAAGCTGCTGGAACGTGGCCTGGTGTGTGCCCCTGAGTCCCTGCACACTATCCATGCAGCCCTCATCTCTGTGGAGAAGATCCCATATTTTCGGGCACCCCTGCAGACCAAGGCCAAGTTCCACATCACAGTGGGCCATGAGACAGTCATGGGCCGGTTGATGTTCTTCAGCTCTTCTCCTGACAGCTTTGACCACGAGCCTGTGCTGGACACCTTCGACTTCTCCAAAGAATACCTGTTCCAGGAACAGTACCTCTGCAATGATCTGGTGCCAGGGGCAGTAAGCAGTGATCAGGCCAATGAGAAGGTGGGCCAGGGCACAGAAGGCCAGTATCCTCGGCAGCAGTGGGCCCTCATAGAGTTTGAGAAGCCTGTCACCTGCCCTCGGCTGTGCCTGGTGATTGGTTCCAGGCTAGATGCGGACATTCACGCCAACATGTGCCGTCTGGCCTTCCACGGCATCTTACTGCATGGGCTGGAGGACAGAAACTATGCTGAGAGCCTCTTGCCCAGGCTGAGAGTATACAAGTTGAAGCACAAGCATGGCCTTGTGGAGCGGGTAAGCAGCTCCTTCCTGCCCATTGCTCTTCTGTCTGGCTCTGGTGGCTGGGGTGTACACAGTTTGACATCTGTTATGAGAGCCAGGAAGGCTTCAGAGACTTTTTGATTACAACTGCTGTACTTTTTAGACAAGGAGACTGAGGCCTTCAGTGGTCAAGTGGCTCAGGTTCTCTTAGCCCATTAATCATTGTGCCTGGGTCTAAACCCAGGTGAGGGAGCCCAGTGTACCCCTTGCAGTTCAGCTTCTCTGGCTCCCCTCTTCCTTAGGTAGTAGAGGTACCCACATAGGGCAGAGCAGGCCTGGTTGGCACACAAACCAGTTTCAGACAGCAGTACTTCACCTAGGCCAGCAATCAGCAGTGTCATTGGCCTTCCTGAGCTTTGGATGAGAGGCTGGGCCCTGCACCATCACCTGATGCCAGGCCCTGGCTCTCAGTTGGGGGCTGAGTCTCATCAGGCAGGGTGGCTTCCATGTCTGCCCTAAGCCAGTCATGTCAAAGGAGGAATCATGGCTGGTCATGCAGGCCAGACTGGGCTAAGTCTGTCCTTAGCTTGTGGGGTGGGGTGTGGTGGGGTGGGGAATAGGAGTTAATGATAGTGGGTGGGGGGGTGGAGAACAAGAGGTAGGAAGGTACAGGAAGATGACAGAGAGGAAGGGCCCATGCTGGTGGTTTTCTGGGGTACCTGATATCACTGGAGGCAGGTCTTAAGTGCATGAGCAAGCCAGTCTAGTTTATAGGCTTATCATTAGGGGTGATAGCTATGGTTGGCCTGAGAGAGCCTACACAGGGTCCCAAAACCCTAGAACCTCCTCCTCCCATTGGGTGGATGTGCACACCCCCAACATCCATCCTTACAGGTCTGAGTGGGTCTGCCTTGGTGTGGGTCTGCATAGGTAAAGGATGGCTGTGTGTTTAGCTGACTGAGCTTGGCAGTGCTGAGACCCCAGTGTTGGGAAGCTCAGGGTCCTAGTGGAAAATGCCCTTGTAACCAAACAAGTGGGCTCGGCCGCCTGCCATAATGAAAACCAAACTTACGGGACACATGCTGATGCAAAAGGAAAAAGGGTTTTATTCAGATGCTGTGACCTGGGAGAATGGTGACTCACATCTCAAAGACCATCTCATTTTCCTGCTCAAGCCTGCAGTTCTTATAGGGATAGAGAGGGGAGGGCTTTTTTTCCTATCCAATTATTTTACTAGATTTTTGCATGCTTGGGTCCTATCCATTCATCTTTCGAGACCATGGCTCACTCAGTGTAAGTACCTTCCCCTGCACCATCTTAGCCAGTGGGGAGACTCCCTGGTGCTCCCTGACTATCTACAGTATCAGAGTCAGTTGAGAAGGAAGGCTGCAGAACCTGCCATCAGGAAACTTGGAGGTGCCATAGCCCTCAGCCCACCTCCCCTATACTTGACTTGGACCTGCACATCCGGGAGAGCTGGTTGGAGTTGGCAGGGCAGCCCTAGGTCCAAACACACCTGCATGCAGCTCCATTGCCCCCCTCCCCTTTCCCATTTGGCCTGCCCTTCTGACTGACTGCCTATGGTAACACCCTGAGGTTCTTAGCAGGCCCTACAGTTCTGTTCCTCAGATAGCAGGATCAGGTCACCCCTGTGGTCTAGCCCTACTTGCATCTGCACAAGCTCCAGCTCAGTGCCATTCCCATACTGAGCAGATGCGCAGGAGAGGGTGCCCAGGACCTTGGGCATTAGAAAGTGTTAGAGTTACCATTGTCTACCACCCTCTCATCTCACTTATTTCTTTCAGATCCCCAGGTTTTCTCCTCTGGAGCTCTGTCTTTGCAGAACCCTTCCCCTCCCCTCCTCATTTCAGAATGCTTCCTAGGAACTCAGGCCTGTCCCTCTTTTTCTCCTTACACCTAATATGCCCTCTGATGGAAAAATGAGAAGCAGCCCCTTCCTTACCTGTTCACAGGTCCAAAACTTGGGATTCCCAGCCCCATGAGCATAGCCCTCCAGCTCAGCCAAGCAGTTTGCTCACCCTGTGTGTGGATCCTGGAGCTGGGTCTACATCCTGTTTCTTCTGCTCTTCTCTGGGCAGGCATTGGTCCTCTGTGAACATTGATTCCTTTCATCTGCAGAGTGCTGATATGCCTAAGTTCCTGGCGTCACTAGGAAGTGTTGAAGGCTGACCATCAGCCCTAGGCCAGCCCCAAGATGCTCATTTAAGATGAAGGTGATAAAGCACTCATCACTCATTTGTCTAACTTGATTTATTAGCAGCATTATGGAGTATAATTATTTTGTGGTGAAATATCTACCATGGAGTAATGCCCCACTTGGTCTGTTCATGTATCTAATTGTCCCCTACACCAGCCTGTCAGTGGTGCTGGCAGTCACCCCCTATAAGGACAGAAGCATGGCTTTGTGAGCAGACAAGTAAACACACTGTTGAAATGACTCAAGCTAGAATGTCCTTGGTGGGAGACTTGCCTTCCTGGTAAGGTTGGTAAGGCATTGAACTTGGGGATGAGATTAATAGGGCTCAAACCCTGACTGTGCCGTGCAACACTGCATACCTCAGATTGCTGTTTTATTTCAGCATCCTCATTCATTCAGGGCAAACTGTTGACCTCATAGGATTGTTTCAAAGGAGCCACCATAGCACAGGGTATCACATGTAAGAGTCAACTCTAGTGTAAGTGTAGCCAGAAGGCTGGGCTATTTGTGAGGAGTAGGCCTGTTTGCTTTAAGCAGGACCCAGAGTGCCCAGAGATTTTCAAATTGCTTGGTTGGCCATGGTGTGGGCTGTATATCAGAATGGTTAGATGTGCAGACCTAGGGCCTGGCAGGCCTGGGCTTCAGTTTCACCCTCATACCTCCTACTGTGGAAATGGGGCAGTTATGAGACTTCCCTATACCTGAGGGACATCACAGTGCTGCCCTGTGGGGTCAGATGGAGGTGAGATGGAGAAGTGCATGTGAGGGCCTGAGTGCTTGGCTCCTAAGTCTGTGTTTGTTGTTTCATATATATTAATTTTCAAGCTCTTAGAGTTAAAATAATAAATCCTGGAGGCTGGAGCCAGAATGGTATTTCACTCCTTACCCAGGGCATTATTATCCCTCTTTGAAGCACAGGGACCAGTTCCCCAACACCTTCAGGAATCACCCAGGGCTTGTGGAAGTGGCATGTTTGGTAAGGGAGTTAAGAGTCAGTCTGGCCTATAGGAGTGGTTGTCCAAGGCAAGGAGAGCCCATGCTGATCTTTTCCCTGCCATGCTCGGCTACCTCCAGAATTTCCTAGACACATCACAGATACCCCCTAGTGTCCTGGGCATGTCTCCAAGAGGCCAAGTCATCTTGAAAGGGTTAAATTCAATCACCTAAAACAGATCACCACAATTTAAATTGGTTGCCAACTCCCAGTCTTTGCTTCATGATTCTGGGCCAGCTCCTTGTGTCTGTTCTGCAGACACAGTCAGCTTTCTGGGAGCTCAGCTTGTTCCTCCCATGTGGCCTCCCTTCATAGAAAAGGAAGGCCCAGTCCTCCATAGATATGTGTTGAATGGATGCTTTCCATCTGGGAGGACTTAGGTAGACAGGCTTTCTGAGCCCATTGCCTAAAAGATATTCATTCACATGTTCAGATGTTTAGCAAGCTCCCATGTATGTCAAGAACTGGGGATACAACAAAATGGACAAAGTTCTTGTCCTCACAAGGGAAACTAGCAAGGAACAGTAAATTAGACACTTTCAGATAGTAGTAAGTGCTAGAAAGAAAGTAACTAAGGAAGGTAACTAGGAAATGCTGAGGATCATGCATGGCACATTGCAAAGGCCAGCTCTCAGCCCTTCCCAGCCTTTCCTCTTCCCAAGCTTGGCTTGACTCCCTCGCACTGGACCACGTCAGACTCCCTCACACATGTGGCTTAACTCATTGATGTCACTTAGAGTGACTACGGCCCATGGGCCACATTCCAGCAACTGGTCTTGCCCTACTTCTAATCATTTTCTAAGCTAGTTTTTTCTGGATTCTCTTTCTGAGCTGCTGCAATCAAATACAACCTAATTAACTCACCACTGGAAGTGTTTTTCCTTGTTCAGCAACGAATGAATCACTTGGGAACTGACTTTGGTTGCAAGCTCATTCTTATTTTTTATTTTTGTGAACAAATTCTGCTGTCATGAAATACACTGTTTGAAATTTTCTCACTTTTCTAACCATTATTTTCCTGTGAGCTTGGAATGTATATGATGCCAGTGTATACTGTATTCTGTCAGTAGAACCAATAACAAGCACAACACTTTACCATGTAATCCATTTAAAGAATATCCATACCCCACTAAGCCTTAGAAGTGTAACATTTGAAGTCTGTTTTTTCTGTATTGAATGTGGATGTGTACTATTGGTGGATGTACATCGTAATATGAGTAAATAACTAAAACATGTGGTTGGGTGAGATGTTGTGAAACTCTCCCTGTATTACTGTGATTTGTTGTGCACCTGGCGCTTCCTAGATCTCTATTGCAACTGCTCAGCTCTATTGCTATAGGCAAGATGGAAATGAGTCAGTATGGCTAAATGCCAGTAAATTTTACTTATGGACACTGAAATTTGAATTACTTTATAGTTTTCATCCATCAAGAAATAGTCTTCTTTTGATGTTTTTCAACCCACTGGAAAATGTAAAAACCACTGCTAGCTAAAAGCCATACAGAAACAGTGGACAGAATTTGGCCCTTTAGCTATAGTTTTTTGATACCTGATCTAAATGGTAAATAGGAATCTTGAAATAGAGACTACATATCCTGCTAGGAAAAGTCTTATGTCATCTACAGCTACAAGTACTCTCTCTGCATTCCCTAGGAGTTAGGTTCTCAGGTGAGGCTTGGGTTAATAGAGTATGTGCAGAGCACTCACCCCAAGGGGAGAGAAGGAAGGTAAAAGGGTTCTAAAGGACTGTCTTTCTGGGAAAAGCATTTGGTGAAGGGAATTAGTGTATGGTGATGAAGGAAATCATTAGTATCCCAGTTT